TATGTGCTACTATTTTGGTACCATCCCTACAGTGAAGTATAGCAGTTCCCGCCAACTATATTATATGTGCTACTATTTTGGTACCATTCCTATAGTGAAGTATAGCAGTTCCCGACAACTAAATTATATGTGCTACTATTTTGGTACCATTCCTATAGGGAAGTATAACAGTTCCCGACAACTAAATTATATGTGCTGCTATTTTGGTACCATCCCTATAGTAAAGTATAGCAGTTGCCGCCAACTTTATTATATGTGCTACTATTTTGGTACCATCCCTATAGTGAAGTATAACAGTTCCCGACAACTAAATTATATGTGCTACTATTTTGGTATCATCCCTATTGTGAAGTGTAGCAGTTCCCGCGAATTAAATCATATGTGCTACTATTTTGGTACTATTCCTATAGTGAAGTATAATTTGTGTGCAATTTTACTGTTAAAGAATTTTTGTCATTAAATCCATTTTCTAAGAAACATTTAATTTGGAACACACCTTCAGTTTATTTTATTTTCAGGCTAAACCTTGATACTTTTACAATCCACCAATGTCCAAACAAGCTGCAAATAATTTGGTTACTAGTGGCGGTCTTTATTGTCGATATAGTTATTGTCCGCTTGCTCGTTAGTAGTATTCAATAGGCTTTACTGCCACCTCCTAGGCCGCTCATTATTGACACGGTACCAAAATAGTGGCAAATACCAAAATAGTGGCTTAACAAACGCCCGCTTAGGTACGTGCTCTGCACAGTCAGCTGTGCCAATAAAATAAATGCGATATTTACTATATGGGGCCGCCATCTTGAATGCGGCATAAAACCATACGAGACAAGTTGTGAAACGCGTTTTTCAAATTCCTACAAATCAGGACAAAAATACCAATCTTTCACAAAAATACGATTCGTTGGGGTTATATTAAGCCAGCCGATAACAAAATTCGGCCGAATTCGTCGTTTTTGTGTGGAAAAATCCTTTGCATACCAACACCTAATTACACAAAGAACCTAGAACACTAAGCTGAAATGACAATTTTCGGTTTCAAATACCCCAGAAAAGTTACAAATGACTGGTTCAACAGTGTCAATCCTGACTGCGTAGGGTCGGCTCAGTCGATATTTAACTAACCAACCAACCAACCAACCATATACTAGTATAATTCTAAAAAAGAAAAAACAAACAAGTGTAAAATTATGAAGTCAAAGAAGAAACCGCAAATTAAATAAATATTTAAAATAACATTTCTATAATTGACAATTCAGTAAAAACTAATCCACTATCATCTGTTATGTATACTGTGAAATTTGGTCTCGGGGTTATTGAACATAAATATTAAATATGCGTTACTATTGAATCTTTTGATGCTTGTTTAAGGGAGCCCATTTATGTGTGTGTTTTTATTTTCGTCCTTCACAAGTGAACACATAAGATGATTAATATATTAATAATTACCCTGTGTTGTGTTCAACATGGCTCCCATGAGGCGAACTATTCTCGGGACGGACATCCGGGTTATTTTCACTGCCTGGCAACCATCACGGTGAAAACAAAGGCCATAAACTCTCAGAAAACGGTACTTTGGGATGGTTGTTGAGACTCCCCTGAACAGTGTAACTAGATTATCCCTACATGTGCAACATATAAAAATTTGGTTGCTCAGAATTACGTCAAAGAGTTGTTTGTGCTGTTTCTTCGACTTCAGCTGTTTTCATCAGCGTTCCACAGCTGCAGCTCGCACATAGCCCATAGAAATACATATTTGGTGATCGATGTCCTAAATAACTATTTAAAATAGCAAAAATAGAAATACATGGTACAGTGATGCGCGTCTTAGCAACGTAGAACGTTATGTGACGTAGCTCCGCGCCTGAAAATACAGCGCGTAAAATCGTTGTGTCGTCACAGGAAGCGCTGTCTCAGCACAGACTTAACAAGGGTCACGTGCCATCCTGTGATTGCTTGGGATAAATGGCTGAGAATGCACAGATCTGTGTCCAATCTCCCAGGCAGAGTTCTATTCCACGAATATATCTCTGCCTCCACACGATCTTATGCTTGTCGTTGATTGGTCGATGCGTCACAGTGGCACTACTTTCAAAGGCGCCCAACAAAACATTGCCATGCAAGTGTTCGATTTTCGAACCCGACGTATATGTGTACGCGTTGTTTACAGATTTTGGCTGTTTTCAAAGTTAGAAGCTTTTTTTTTTCTTTCTGTAACACAAACGGTGTGGCAGTAGGAATATTTAGTCGTCAATACTAGGAACTGCTTTCGTTAGTTTGTAATTCTTTGCCTGGCAATCGACAAGACGGTCAGTTTGATGAACCGAGTAACACCTTGGTAACGGTTATTACGCAATGGAATTATTTTGTTTTGTAAATTATAACTATTGCACCGTTTTGGCAAAAAAAAAATCATTATCAGCTATCGATGAAATCTTTTAAAACTAGTTTATCAGTAGGAATAAATCAACACAAGATCCCTCTCATAACAAAAATACGCAAATAATTGGCGTAGTAAAAGTCTTGTGGTGTTTCACCACAAAATGGCGGTGTGCGTTGTGTCGTCACCGGAAGCGCTGTCCCAGCACAAACCTGTGTCATCAATCTCCATCCCAGAGGCCTTTGCGCTTTACGCAATAGTGCCTCTGCCACAGGCAGCCTTCAATTTTGTGGTCAATCACCTCACTACGCACGGTCATTTTTCCGCGGTTGTTTCATTTGAAACCGAACTACAAAAAGTGGGAAAAAACGTATGTGACATCCGAACTATTTATTAATGTCAGACTTCAGTAAAAACGTAAATACGAACCATTTTATCGCTATGTTTTGCAAGGTAATGTTACTGTAGTGAAAAGGCGCACGTGATACACTAAAACTGGGGAGAAAAAAACTCTCTGTTAACGAATATAGTTGGGAAAGAAACATTAAAGACTAATTTCACTGAAAGGGGTTTCCTAACATTTCCGTTCATCTTGTATTCTGGTGAATATTTCAAAACTATTTCTGGCTTGAACGGGTTCGATTTTCGGCGTCTAACAGCCATAGAACACACAGGTTCTAGTAAGTTAATAAAGTTAGTCATTTATAGTAGAAACTAACGCTTTGGCATGTAGAAAAGGATGGTACTTTTCTAAAGCAAGTCATGTATATTTTAATCTAATTAACTGCACATTTTATTCGGAGTTAGGGCGTGAAACGTCTTATTAAAATGATTAATTTGCATATTCGAATATGTTCGAACTACAAGACCCAGTCGGTTAACACAGTTACGTTTAAGCCACCGTGTTACTTCAATCACTTTAATAAAACATTTTACGTCCTAAATCTGAAAGAACTGTTCGGTAAATTAAATTAAAACATACATGTTTTACGCTTGGAAAGTGCAGTCCTTTCAAAGTTATCAAGACATTAGATTATACAATAAATTACTAACTTTATAAACTTATTAGAACCTGTGTGTTCTATAACTATTAGAAGCGGAGAACCGAATCCGTTCAAGCTAGAAATAGTATTAAAATATTCACCAGAAAACAAGACGAACGGGGTTGTTATGAAAATCCCTTCGAGTAAAATTAGTGTTTAATTCTTTCCCCATCTTATGTACATAAACAGAACGCCGTTTTCCCTAGTTTAAGTTTACTAGTATCACGTGCGCCATTTCACTAAATAACAATACCTTGCAAAACATGGTCCGTGATAAAATGGTTCGTATTTACGTTTCTACTGAAGTCTGACATTAATAAATAGTTCGGATGTACATACGTTTTTTTTTCATTTTTTGTGATACGTTTTCAGATGTAACAAACTACAGGAAAATGGCCGTGCGTAGTGAGGTGACTGACCACGAAATTGAAGGCTGCCTGTGGCAGAGGCACTATTGCGTAAAGCGCAAAGACCTCTGGGAAGGAGATTGCCGACGATTGTCTTCGAAACGTTCTGAGTTCCGAACAAACTCCTCGGCACTCCTTGCGCGATATGCGTCAGATCGGTGTAGAGAGGGACGAATTCACAAAGTAATGAACGCACGCTGCGTGACACTACACGATTTGCTGGGACTTGGGTGCTAACCTGTTCAATTGGCCATCGATTAATCGATTAACAATTTGACAACAAATGCATTCATTTTCCAACTGCCTAGGTGTGTGTTTGTATGTGTCGAGTCACCTGTATCTAGCATGAACATTCTGATATTTTATCCTTTGTGTGTTTATTTGGTACCACGAAAGTCAGTATTTCATGGAATAAAAATATTTTAAAAAAATCGACAAACAATGCAACTCGTGTACATTTAATGACGTCCACAGCAAACTGAAATTGTTGAGTCACTCAATGTAGTTTGCTGATTTAAATTCTGAAGAAAAAAAAACCCTCAATTGCATTCATTTTACAATACAACACTATAGGGTTTAACGCTACCAGACAATCGCAAAGTCACTGTTTCCATGGAAACAACTTTAAGTTCGAGTAACCCCGATTTTTATTTGGAGGAAAATTTCACCCAGTAAAATATCAAGGATTGACAGTGCTTTTTAAAATGTTCACATTGTTCACTACTTAACAGAGGTCAATTCTATAAGTTGTTCGTTATATCCCTTTCAAATGAAAAAAAAAACGCAGAGCTGACACGGAGCCCTTACAGTTTTCTTCAACCTCTATCTTTCCAGGTTTGGATGAGCATATACCTTTAGAAAGTTAAAAAAAAAAGTTTTTTTTACTTTTTCATACCTGTTGAATGTCCTTGTTCGCATATCATGCGCATCTCGATTCGAGTGTTACCGGATGCGGACGCTTGAATTTTTAACGACTTGTCATCATCGAGCCATAAATTTAATGTCTGCATTGGATGACCTTTCATGCGTAGATTGCTGTTAAGTGTGGGCAATATTTCACTCTAATATTTCACTGAACATATCCATAGAATATTGAACTGATCCATAGAAGGGTGTGATTATTATACAGTTATAGGTCTCGCTTGAGGCCCATATTAATAAGTATTGTCCTCTAAGATGCTGTTAATGCCCTCGACTGCGGCCAAAACCAGTGTCATAAACAGTCAGGAAGTAAGGAAGGTGAATCTGAACCTCCGAGTCAAAACCAAATTACCCTTCTGTGGCGAAACATCTTGCTGTCGTCAAGTGTCCCGAATGTCATGACGTCACAGGACAGTGGCACACAAATAAACTTCAGAGTCACCAAATACAGGAGTAGTGATGAATGTTATTGATATTTTCACCCAGCAACGTTATTAAATTGCGTAAGTGTTAATTTATAATACCAAGATATTGTTATGTCAGAGCGTTATGTATAATTGATGTAATTGTTGATAAACAAAACGCAGCCAGCTTGTATATGTCTTTGTTTTATTGGCAATAATGATGACTAACATTTGCAGGAAACGTCCTGAAAAGATCAACAAGTTGGTTACCATAGTGATAATATACATTGCGTTACTTCATCCATGACAATTTCAGTATCACGCATGTTTGCTCCAGTAATTAAATAAAAAAAATCATCACTTCGAAGAAGAGCGCATGACAGAGAGGTTCATTTGTTAGATCTCGATAATTTTCCGGAACGGAAAAACAAGAGGCGTGCTCGATGGATGTCGTTGTTCCTTTGAGTCAGATGGACAACACTGACCACCAAACAAAAAAAGCAGGTATGAGTGCTGAGGCATCATTTGTTGTTGCCTTACTCTCGAATTGTATGTTTATTTTTAACACTCTTTTCTCGAATGTGTTGTTTTTCAGAAGACGACACGGCATCACAGTCACAAGAACCGGAAAAACCCTCCAGATTGACGCTTGCTGTAATTTATGCTCAAAATACGACGGCCCATGGTTTGGCTAACACTGTCAATGCTGGTACACTACACAAGCGCCTGTTTTGGATACTGACTTTCATAATATGTATGGTAACGCTGGTTGTACAAGCGCAGTCGGTGATCAGACTGTATCTAAGTTATCCCAAGGCAGTCTCAGTGGAGATAAAGAGCCGCTCCAAACTCGACTTCCCAGCTGTCACGGTGTGCAACCTGAACATGGCCAGGGTATCAAGGTGGAATGGAACAAGATTTCAAGAGCTTCTGGACGTTGATAGAATGCAATTTGACATTGACGAATGGTTTTCGGAGAACCTAGGAAGCTCGGATGCCCCGGAACCTGACACGTCTACCCAAGCAGATGTACCTATAAACGCGACATCGTCGGGTGATGCACCCGTAAACACGACATCGTCAGGTGATGCACCCGTAAACACGACATCGTCAGGTGATGCACCCGTAAACACGACATCGTCAGGTGCTAGAAAACGACGTGCGGTTGTTGCTAAACACCCAGTTACTGATTTACTTGGTCAAGGAACACTGTCGGAATTCTTGAAGACCCTCGGACCTGGTTTACAGTCGTCATGGATTCGTCAGTACGCCAAAGAAAATGTCATAACACGGCCCAAACGAAATTCAGGAAACGATAGTGAAACGTCTGAAACAGATGGTTCGGACGACACGGATAATGGAAATAGCGAAGGAAGCGAAATGGGAAGCGAAAGAGGAAGCATGGGATTCTATGCTTCTGACGATTACGACGATTTTTCAAGCAATGCATTTATGGACTATGGGCTAGGTGGTACGAATCCTAACGACTGGAGTACTTTTTATACGAAATCAAGCACAGACGATTTCTCTGATCTTCGCGCTGCTTTGCGTATGACCCAGGCGGAAATCGAAGAGTATGGTGAAAGGGCGGAAGATTTCATTGTTCAGTGCTCATTCGACAGATCAAGCTGCTCGTCGAAGTAAGTTTCATGTTATTATAATTATTTTTAAAAACAAAATATTCGCCGGTGTGTATATTAAAGTAACTTTCACCAAGAAAATATTATAACGCATCTAATAATCAAGTATTCTAATTAATAACTTTTTCCAGGGACTTTACCGTATCTCAGAATGACGTTTACGGGAATTGCTTTACGTTTAATGGGATAACCGGCAATAAAACCAGACGTACTACGAAAGCAGGGGAGCAATACGGTTAGTTGGCTCATTGTTTGTTTTCACTACATGGACAATTTTATATTAAAGAGTCGCGTTAGAAATGTTTTTCGTGGCCACGTATGCAGACCGCTCGATGTACTTGCCCTAGAAAAAAGGGTTAACTTTCATATGCAACTATATACGTGAGGCTCAGTGGTGATCTCCAACGTTTTGGCCAATGTATGGCTGGACTCCAAACTATCCACAACACTGCTGCTTCTTGAAGCGCTACATAAGCTACATAAATAACTGACACGATGACCGTAACACTAGTCTCGCA